CCCCCATCGCGCGCAGCCCCGGGGAGAGCGAGCGCCGCGCGCCGGCGCGCACGCCCGCCACCCAGCTTTACTATATCGCGCCCTCGCGCGCCTCCCTCCTCGCCGGGCATTCAAACAGCTTTCCGACGTCGCCTGGCAGCCCAGGATTTTCGCCCCAGCTCCTCCGCCGCGCTCCGTCCATCATCAGTACCTGGCGGGGAGGAGGGCCAGGGAGGAGGGCGCACAGAGCAGCCGGGCTCCAGTTCCAGCCTCGCCACCGGCCGGGAGCACTCCTGCCATCAGCCCGCCGCCCAACCCGCCGCCTCGGCCGCCGGCGGCGGCCACTTCTCAGCGCTTTTTGGGCTCCTTGGCCAATCCGTTTGTTGGGGGGGTGGTGGGTTTGGGAAAACACATCTGCGCTCTTAATCCACTTCCATTTTTTTTTGTTTTGTTTTGTTTTGTTTTTTGGCTTTTTTTTTTTGTTTGTTTGTTGTTTCTGTCGAGTCTCCCTTCAGGGGGCCTCTCCCCGCCTCTCCTTTGGAGGCTTCATTCACTTGGATAAGGCGCAAGGCTCTGGCCACTGGATACCCCCCCCTTTTTTTTTTAATCTCCCCCCTTTTTTTGCTTCTCTTATGCGTGCATTTTTTTCCCCAATAATAAATCCTGATATTTGAAGCTGAGCCGAGGGAAAAATGGGCAACGGTGATTGGGACCGAAGGGGAGTCTCTCCGTCACTGTTGTTGGGACGTGTGCCTGTGCTGGTGTCTTAGATCAAAAGCCTCCCGGAGCTTTCGGAGTGGAAGGTAAGGAAGGGGGCCTAGGGGTCACCTCTGCCTTCTGGGGTCGCCCTGGAGAGGCTTGGGCTCAGTTTTGGGGGGAGGGAAGTCAGGGCTGTTGCTGGTGGATGGAGAGATCCTGAGCTTACTTAAACGCCGCAGTTGAAAAGTTAAGAGAAGTCTGGTTTTGAAGAGGTGTGCTGGATGGAAAGGAATAGGGAGAGAGACCCAGAAAATCTAGTAACTCGTGCGTGATTGAGATAATTTTAGCGGCGGCGGCGGTGGTGGTGGGGTAGGTTAAAAGGAAGTTATGATAGAGGAGGACAGGGTCTTCTAGTGGGGGAAAAAATCAGTGGAGTGATGGCGCCGTCTATGTTCGGCTAAACTCAAGTGTCACCCAGAAGATCAGTTTTGAGAATAGCTAAACTCAGTGCTGGTTTACCTCTCAGCAAGAGCCACATAAATAAATAAATAAATAAATAAATACAACGTCCTGGAAACCTCGGTGACCATCCCTTAGCCAAACCCCTGGCCCATTATTTTCCTTAAGACAGACAGACAGACATTTGTTTGAACAGGCCCTGCAGTGGAGGTGGGGGGGGGGAGAGCAGCAGTTCAATGATTCATATTTATTATTATTTAGGGAAAAAAAAATCAAGACTTCGCACACCAAGACTGATTAAAAATAAAGATCGTTGCAGGAAGGGTGCCTGCTCCGGAGAGATGGGCAAGCAGCTGTTTCCCACTCTTTCCGATCACTGATAAGCACAGTATTGCAGACATTCATTGTCAAATAAAGGGAAGCAGAAGTATCGATTTTATAAGGAAAAGAAATCCGACCTCCTTTTGAGTTCCTGACTATGAAATGAAGCCCCCTTTCATGGTTGGAATTCCTAATTTAGACACTTACTGTCATACTGGCTTCCAACGCCTACACTCTATCCTGAAGAACACTGCGCAGACCTGCATTGCCTGCAAAGTGCTACAGCACACACACACACACACACACACACACACACACACACACACACACACACACGCACACGACATTGTTTCCAGATTTTTGTAAAAACACACATTTTTAAGCTCTAAAAGATCATTGCCTTTATTTATTTATTTATTTATTTTTTTTCGACTGGAAAAGGCATTACTCATTGAGCTGTGTGTTTGAAAGAGAAAACGCTATTCCGGTAGTCCTATCAGCTCTGGTGTTATTTTAAACTGCTGCTGTATAGAGATTTACACTCGGGGCTGTTTAGCCTCTCTCAAGACATAGTATGTGAATCATAATCTGTAAAATGCAGATCTGTTCAGGGACTCTGGCCACCGGATTGGGAGTGCATGCGTTGGTGTGTTATGCAATGGTAAAGAAGGTTTTATGCTTTGGTTCAAAGAGGTCCAGACAGAGAAGGCATGCAAACTCTTAACTGTCTATATGTCTGTCTGAATATCTGTGCGTAGAGAACGGTGGAAGAGACTTCAGCCGAAAGCCTTTTAAAATTAAGTTGACATCACTTTAATCAGCTCAAAGGCTGGAGAGAGAGAGAAAAAAAGCACTGTCATTTATTCTGAGAAATATTCTTAAAGGTTAAAGCTGAAAAATATTCAAGTTATTTTTGGATAACAACTTATAGAGGCAAATATAATCAAGGATGCTTTGGTTGTGGGTAGAAATAAATAAAAAAGGAGAGCTCTGGAGCACTTGTTTGAAAGGCAGAAATTCAGTAATTGAAATCAAGTAGGGGAAAAAAGATGTAATTTTTTTTCATCTACCATGTGTAAATCCTCATTTACAACAGATAATATTAGATAAAACAACCACAGTTTAAAAAGAAAATCCAAAAAACTGAAGCAAGCTCAGTTACTGCAGTTCTGGGATTTTTTCCCCCCCTGACATCGCCTTTGGATACAGATACTAATACAGTGATCCACTTTATGCATCCCAGGAGGGCATGTCCTATGAAATGACTGCCTCAAATCTGGTACTCAGTGGTGATGCTGAACATCAAGACTTTCCTGTGTATCTACCCATCCATGCACTTTCCCAGATGATGGCTCTAAAATCCTATGAATCCACAGGAGTGCCCACGTTTTTTGCACAGGAATTTCTCATCAGTTCACATGGTGGCCCCCTGCAAAGGCAAGTAGGGGCATTTGGGAGACGATGTTCCATCTGGAGCAAATGATCATTTGTGCTTTAAAGCGCTGGCTATAATTTATCATGATTACTCTTCACATTTAAGAGAAGAGAAATAATGTGATGACAGCTGCTTCCAGATTATCAGATTAGATTCTGTGTGGTGGTGTTTACTGCAGGCAGCAGATGAGGGAGAGGAAAGGTTGGGTAGCTTGAGGCAGTATCTCAGCAATTGACATGTAGGTTACTCAGGAAAAAAAAAAACATTTTCCCACTTCACTTGATAGAATGATAATGGATGTGCAGGAAATCCTGGTGGATGAATTAGGACATAACTATTAATAATCTATTAAATGTTATTTTTAAATTGAAATGTTGAGAATTTGTCCATCACCAGTAACCACGTGAGGGCGCTGTTCACACAGCAACTGATAATTTCCCAGCGTTATAAAATAAAAATCACCTGCCCTTCTTTTAAAAAGGGCTTTTTACGGAAATCTTGAAAACAGCTGGCTGCAATATTGGAAGGGTTTTGTTTTCTCAATGCCTGTGGTCCTCTGCTTGCATTTCACTTCCGCTGCCATTTTTACAGGCCAAATGACATAGGATGAAGGCTGTTCGTACCCTGCTGATTTATATATTTTCCACCTATCTCCTGGTTATGTTTGGATTTAATGCTGCCCAAGACTTCTGGTGTTCAACTTTGGTGAAGGGAGTCATTTATGGATCCTATTCTGTAAGTGAAATGTTTCCCAAAAACTTTACAAACTGCACTTGGACGCTGGAAAATCCAGATCCAACCAAATATAGCATTTACCTGAAATTTTCCAAAAAGGACCTTAGCTGCTCTAACTTTTCCCTTCTGGCTTATCAGTTTGATCATTTTTCCCATGAAAAAATAAAGGATCTTTTGAGAAAGAACCATTCTATAATGCAACTTTGCAGTTCCAAGAATGCTTTTGTTTTTCTACAGTATGATAAAAATTTTATTCAGATACGTCGGGTATTTCCAACTGATTTTCCGGGATTACAGAAAAAGGGCGAAGAAGATCAGAAATCTTTTTTTGAGTTTTTGGTACTGAACAAGGTGAGCCCAAGCCAGTTTGGTTGCCATGTCTTATGCACTTGGTTGGAGAGTTGCTTGAAATCGGAAAATGGGAGAACAGAGTCCTGTGGAATCATGTACACAAAGTGCACCTGCCCTCAGCATTTGGGAGAGTGGGGGATTGATGACCAGTCGCTGGTTTTGTTGAAGAACGTCGTGTTACCCCTGAATGAGCAGACGGAGGGCTGCCTGACTCAGGAGCTGCAGACTACTCAAGTCTGCAATCTGACCAGGGAGGCCAAAAGACCACCCAAAGAAGGTAAGTGCCCAGAGAAAGGGGGAAATGGGTACTGGCGGGTGGGGGAGGCTTTGCATGGAAGTAACCCTTGCTGGTTCACTACTTAAGCCTAAATAGTAGCTCCTTTATTCTGTCAACTTTGAAGTGATTTGATTTGTGGTCTTCACTGTGGAAGGGCTCTTAAGCTAGGTTTAGCCTTCATGGCATTAGAGACGAGCCGAGATGGGCAGCTCAGCAACGTGCTCCAGAAGTATCGGTAGAATATTCAGAAGAGAGATACAGGAATGAAGCCAGTTGGTGTTGGGGGTTGGTAAGGAGGAAAAAGTGTGCTTTTATTCAGGCTTGCAGCCTAGGAAATCTACACATGCTCCTAATGTGAAATGCGTATGCAGACTTCCTCCTGGTCAGCAAATGTCCTCTTCCCTTCCTTCCTCTCACCTGTTTCTTAGCCTCTCTCCTCTCTCTGTGACTCCAGGAACCACTCAACAGAAAGCCTGTGTGGACTTGGAGACTGTCGGTCTCCGAAGTCAAGAGAGACCATTTTCACCCAGCTCCTTGTTTTTGTGCAGAGTGTTTTGCACAATAAATAAATCCTTGTGCGTGGTGTTTGGCCAGGCGAGAGAAACACATTGGAAGCCACAGCTCCCTGGGTCTCTGCCTCTGAAGTCAGCAGCAGAAGGGAGGGGGTGGCGGCAATTAAGGCACATGCAGATTCTGAACTACAGAGGAGGTGCTTCTTGCAAGTCTTTTCTGATACTTTCTTGGTCCTTTGTTGATATATTCAGAGAGAGAGAGAGAGAGAGAGAGAGAGAGAGAGAGAGAGAGAGAGACTCAGAAATGAGCTAAGAGGGAAAACAAAACAGTGCAACGGAAATGCAGAGGAAGACTCCCAAGTATCACCATGACTTGTAGCGTTCGCCCATCCTCAGTGGGGGAGCTAGCCAAAGATTTAAGATCGTGGATATTTTTTTTTTAATAATGTAAGAAAGCATGGCATAGTTTGGGAAAATGACTTTTGCTTGGAAGGTTAATGGCTCTGCTCCGTTCCTTAAAGGACAGAGCCAGTACATACTCTTCCTTGTCTTCCAGCCCTGCAAACCAGTGAGTGTGTTGATTTCTTATGCAGGAAATGTTTTCCGATCGCCACAAAGATCCCAGTCTGTGGAAAGGGACAGCCAAGCTCCAGGCCCCCTTTCCTCTCCCTCCCCCAACAGAAGTTGCCTTTGTGGCCAATATAAAATCGACACGTTGTTGGAGAATTTTCTTTAGGGGTAGCCAAGGCTTTGTAGGAGAGTGGAGCCAGCAAGGGGAAAGGGGAGGGGTAGAGGAGCCTCGACAGCTTAGTGCTGTTTCTCTGCTGGCTGCAATTTGGGGGATGGGAATTATGGAAAAGCAATGACACCAGCCCCCTCACCCCCCCAAAAAAAATTGAAAATAAGAGCAGGCTCATGGCAAGGAGAAGAGGTGGAACCTTTTCAGATTTCCACAGGTCAGTGTTTGGCTAACAGCGGTGACTGAAGAAAACAAAGTAGTTTTAAATTACAGGAGTTCTCTTCTCTAGTAAAAAATCCCAGAGAAGCACTTACAACTGCAGGGATGGTATTTAACACCATTTAAAACTAATTAGTGTCCCCTGGAATAAGAACTACAGTACACACAGAAACTGTGACGCCACCAGCTCACTAAGGAAACAGTGAACATCATCAGAAACTGAGCTTGGTGTGTGTGTCTCCTGGTTGTTTAAATGGGAGTTGCAAATGTATTTCCGCCATTGTTCAAATTTGCTAATCAACTTCACCCTGATCCTACTGAAAGCAGAGAATCAATCCAGTTTTGCAGCCTGTTTTCAAATGAAAAGTGGCAGAAGAAAAAGTTGTGAACTCATGGTGCATGATTTTCAGGGATGTGGCTGGTGGCAAGCATGGGCTGTGGGTGAAGACAGTGCCGGATGTGTCGAGGCTACAGGAGACATATATTTCATTTGTACATGAGTGGGTTGTAGGCACTGTATTATGAAGCATATGTAAAATACATATTTCTTATTGCTGATCAGCTGTAGAAATGAGAAGGAAATAACTTGCATTGGCAAATACATGTTTATCTTGGAATTTTATGATCTTTATGGAGCCAAACTACTAAGTTTATATAGTAGAGCAGTTTTTTATGCTGTATCAATAAAATTGCACAGTTATGGTTCTTTGTAGTCTAAATTTATGCTTTTTAATCGTCCAGGTGCCTGGAGTTAGGAAGGCCAGGAGAAGTAGATCCCTGTGACACGTTGTGGTTGATGCATTTATAAGTAATTCTTTAAATTATGTATCATAACCTTCCTGGTCTTATTCAAAGAAGGCCTTTTTATTTAGGGTGCATTGTAGAAAAGAATGTGAAAATTTAGACTCTTGATTCTGTACCCTTTATGTAAAGTATATTAACTCTTAAATATTTTATATGTGACATAAAATACTATGCTAAGAATGATTTGTTTAATATTATTTCAAGTAAATCATATAACTGCACCCAGAGAATTAGGTTAATAATTACATACTGGATTGCTGCTCATATTTAATTCAAGGTTTCTTCATTTTATGCTATAACTTGTAATTCTAGTTTATAAGAGGAGGTTTTAAAACTTTCACCTGAGCTTACATTATTTGACAATCATACTTTCTATGGAAGAAAGTGTTCGATTCTGCTGAAGATGTAAAGAGAATTAATACAACAGTGTCTCCACCACAGTCATTGTGCATGTAGTGACGAAGGTCAGTCCTGAGCGGATCTACCCAGATTGCATCGTAGAAGCGGCACAAAATTTGTCAGGGGATTCTCCAAACTTAGCAGACACAACTCCAGACTGTTTTGCACGGTACTGATGTTCATGACAAAAGTATGACAGTTACTAATGTGAATGTGCCCACTTTGGTTAAAAAAAATAAAAGGAGTTAGCACTGAGCAAAGAGTAGACTCTCAACAGTGGATGTCTGCTCTGGAAGAGGTGTTTAAAAAAATAAATGTAATTCACCCACATGCAGAAATTGTTCCCCTTTCTTGTGATACCAACAATTAGAAACTAGACACACAGCAGATTTCCTGCACTGGTATACCACTGAGCATCTCATCTGAGTACATTTAAGAACATTCCTATTTAAAGTTGTTTTTGACATAGTTGGGAGTCACATCTGCTTAGAACGTTAGCTATCATTCACTCCTGTTCTTTTCATTTTTTTTTTTTTTTAAATCATGAGACTAATTTTAAAAACTGACTTTTTGAAAACAGTGATTTGACAGTTTAGACAGCACTGGATTTCTAAAACTACATCACACACACACACGCACACACACACACACACACACACACACACACACACACACACAAACTTAACATTGGTATTCACCTGATCTTTGCATGGAATTCTGGGAACAGATTGGCAGCTATTCACAAAATCATTTTCACATTTTCAGTAATATGCTTTATTACTGAAGATGACTCTGGACTATATAGTTAGGATGGACATTTGGCCTGAGATCTTATGTCAGTATTTCATTTAAAATGACAGCATTAAAACAGTTTGGATGTCCAAGTCATATAAGAAGCCTTAAAGGAATCTTTGTTTGCTGCTGACATCAATGGCTCTACTTATGTGAAGGGAAGTCAGGGTCCCTGTATAGATTCCAGGAAATCTGCACACACTTACCCATTTGTTTTTCTAGACTGGCTATGCTAATCCTGAATATCCTAGCTCCCAAGGGAAGAGTCACAATGTGCCTGGGTAAACTCTAGACTCCCGCTTTGTGTGTGTGTGTGTGTGTGTGTGTGTGTGTGTGTGTGTGTGTGTGTGTGTGTGTGTTTGCACATATTTGTAATCTTGAGGGATTTTCATCTCGGGCACCTTAATTCTTCTCTTGTCCGGGTTGCCCTTACATTACTTTTTGACCCACCTTTTCTCTTCCTTCTTTACTCCTTGGGTCTTGAGTATTTTGCGAATTATTGCTATCATTGAACCATCTTCAAGATGGAGTGCATCCATCTTTCCTTGAAGAAACAGATCTTGAAGTTTGCCCGTCTTTGGCTGAATACCACAGCACTTTGCAAATACTGTAGTTTTGTTCTAGCACTTAATTGCCTTGCTGTGAGATTCTTCCACTTATATTTTCTTCTCCTTCTTTGGCAGATTTTGAGTTGAGTAACAAGATGGGGCTTTTGAAATTGTAGCTCAGTCTTAACATAATCTTGGTGACTGCAGGTTGAAATGAACATTAAGTGAACGAAAGAATAAAGTTCTAAAAATGAAAGATATTAATTGCAGTCAAGAAATACTGATGAGTCACTTTGGAAAAGCAGTCACCTTCTACTTTCTCTTCTATGAGAAGATGAATACCATTCATAACCTTTCCTATTTCATTAATGTATTATTGATGTCAGAGACTGATCTCCAGGGCATTCTACTAATGCTTTGAAAAGAACAAGAGGAATACAGGCAACTTAGTATTATTATTCCACCATTTTTATGTGGACATATGAATGGTAACCATGACTTGTTAGGTATTACCATCTAGAAGATAATGATAATAAAATTGTACGTTTCTCTGCTCATATCTCTGTGCATCTCTTCGACATCTTGCTATAGTCATAGCATTTCCAAAAACTTTCCTTGCAGAGCTTGATAACACACACAAAAAATAATGCTTACTTGCATTTTAACTCTAAATTAGGAACTATACATATTATAATGGCAGAAAATTACGAAAAATGAAAAATGCTAGCCAAAAAATGCTGATTTTTTTTTCCTTTTTTCAATTTTAGAAATTTACCAATTTAGGAAATACTTCACATGTACAGTGTTTATGAAAGAACAATCTTGCAGTGTGGTTTTTGTAAGCAAATGGTTCATAATATTGAGAGACTTGAAAAGTAAGTGAAGTGTGCCTTCATGTCAGGCTTGCACATATAAGGCAGGCAACATGCAATTCAATAGGTCTTTGTGACTGCTGCAGCTGCAGATAAATGTATTAAAATTATGTTG